CGGGAGTCTGCAGGCGCCAATGTCAACACTGGCGTGGGGGACATAACGCGCTTACGGGCATCCGCGCGGCAGGTCCCGACTCGGCATGGGGGTGGCGTTCGCCTCTTAGCGGTTGGCTTTCGGCAGAAGAGAGGTGGGTGGAGCGCTCTGACTTGAAGATGGAGCCACGTGGGGTGAGCGTCGTGTTGTCATCGATCACGCTCTCGGCATGGTCGCTGTGGTGTTGTCCGCTTCAGATGCGGTTCCCGTGGGCTTGCGCCTGGTGCGGTTGCTGGTTGTGCTGGTCGTTGGGCCAACTTCCGCCTCTATGTAGTCCATGTTGTCGTAGCCGGGGTAGTGCTCAGAATCGGTCTGGTCCGTCAGAGTGAGGATGCCGAACGGTCATTCATTGTCCCTAGGTGCGTGGCGAAAGTGAGAATCCGTGGTGAGGATTCTGCTTGTTGCGTTGTTGTTCGTTGTCGTCGTCCCACCCGCGACCCACCCGCGACCCACCCGCGACCCACCCCGCGACCCACCCGCGACCCACCCACGACCCACCCCGCGACCCACCCGCGACCCACCCACGACCCACCCCGCGACCCACCAGCGACCCACCCGCGACCCACCCGCGACCCACCCGCGACCCACCCGCGACCCACCCGCGACCCGGCCCGCGACCCACCCGCGAACCACCGTCGACCCACCTGCGACCCAACCCGTGACCCACCCACGTTGTTTTAACAAAAAATCGGCGCATGCGGCGGGCTCGTTGTTTAGCCTGAAAAATTATGCGCCTGCGGCGGGCTTCTTCAGAGCCTCGCAGACTGCCGACGTACCTGCCGCCCCCCCCTTACTCTTATCCGCAACTGCGGGGTGCTACGGTAATGGCATTCGTTCCCGAGTAAAGTGCTGAGTGTCTGGCGTCGAATGGGTAGACCTCAATGCCCGGCGTGACTAGTCGGTCATCATGACACTCGTTGTTGGTGGTCATGGCGGTGGTATGCCCTCCAGCGACGATGTCGGGAACGTGTGCTGAGCCAGCGGGCTCATTTGCATGTGCTGGTTGAAAGACCTGCTGTCGACCGGTAGGGCGAGTCCTCGCGTGAAGGGGTCGGCGGTCGGCAGGATGTCTGTACCGCTGTAGGTGGCTGGCTCAAAAAAGGGTGCCTGCTGGTGGCTGCTTTCTTGGCTCTGCGTCGGCTGGTTGTTGTCGTGAACCTTCTGGGCCTGTCGCGGGGCCCTGGTGGCTGGTGCCTGGCGTGGGGCCTGGTCTGGTGGTAGTTCACGGTGGTCAGGCTCTTGGTCAGTTGGCTCTTCTGAAGGGGCTGGGCTACTGTCGCCGTTGTGCTGTTGCAGGAGGTTTTTCCAGTAGGCCGTGTCCTTGGCGATGCCCTTCTGGAAAGAGAACGTGGTGAACGGCGTCGGTGTGCCTGTCGGGGTTTAGCGCGAGGCAAGCCTAACGAAACTGCAGGTCACACTTACGTCGCGCTTGGTGCGCTGTCGGGATACTAGTGTGGTCCTCAGCCACTGGGCATGCCCAGATGATACGTAGATGTAGGATGATGAAGCGCACTGGCACCATCTGGTTGTTCGTCATTTTAAGGGCGCGACGCGGTGACCGACGGGTTCTCCGAAGCTTTTGCTCAGGGCGTCGTGGAGGTAGTGCAGGACCAGGTCGTGCTCGACACAACCGATACGAGGTGGGTCCGCTTCCCAGTCGCAGAGCGCCTGTAGGTTGTGAATGCTTTCGATGCAGTCGTTGGTGATCTTATTGGCGTCGGGTCGTAGTGGGTGCTGCTGATGGTGTTCAGCTTTCCGGCCCAGGCTGCGGATGCACGCCCGTGCGGGCGACCTGATGCCAGTGCCGAGGCTACAACTTAGAGCTAGCGACCAACCGCAGCGCTGGCGGAGGGCGGTGGGGGGGGGCCTGGGCGCCCAGGTCCCCTGTGGGGCCTCGACCCTGGTAGGTGGGTCTGGGGTCCGCCCCATGCCGGGGCCCCGCTCGGCCTCGGACTCGGGCGCGGTCTCAGGCTCAGGCTCGGGCCCAGGCTCGGGCTCGAGCACGGGCTCGCCGGCCAAGGACTTGGCCTCGGCCGCGATCCCGGACTCCGCTCTGGCCCTGGCCTGGGCCCCGGCCCCCCCTTTGGCATGGGGTCTCCGTGCTCCTCGCCGAGGTTCGCCGCCCGCACAGTGGGCCGGGCGCGGGCGAAGGCCTGCTCGGGCCTGCGCATGCAGGCCGCCTGCGCCGAAGGCGCGGCGGACGAAGGGCGTGCGCCTGTCTCAGGACGGCGGGCGGCGCAGAAGCGGAGGCCGAGCTGGGATGGCCGATGATCCGCAGAACGTGTGCTAGCGCCAACGTGTGCTTGTCCCTGCAGTGCGGCGCAGGCGGCGTCACGAGGGCCGCCGCAGGCTTGCGCGCTGTCGGTGGAGCTCCACGAGCTGCACACACGCTGGGCCAACACCAGTGCAGAACATGCCTGCGCCCTCGGCATGGTGGACGCGGCAAAAGACCGAGCTGGCG